GATGACAGAGAAGAAGCATCAGGAACCAAAGGGTTAAGCACAACCTGTTTGTCAGAGAGGTTAACCATAGGCTCAAGAGATTCATTCAGCTTAAAAGCAGCAGAGAAAGTGTTGTTTATTTCAAACCTTGATATTGATGGTGGGTTTTTGACCCCCTGGAAGAAATAAAAGTAAAGAAAAAGCGTTATGACTGTAAACAGCATGTTGTTTGAATTCACGTCATGAATTGCAGACCAGAACCACCTCCGACCCAGTGCAGCTGGCACCGAACCGCTGCCACTAGTCCCCAACGTGCCCGACCGGCGGCACCCGCCTAAAACGGGCCCGTTCGGGCGGGTGGAGGGACCAGCGTGGCTCGGCCGGTAACCAGACTCCTGCGTCTTGGCATGTTCTGGAAGCAGAACGTCAGAGAACCTTACATCAGGTGTAACAGTGCAAGAAAGATTTTGTCGTGTCTCGTCCATCTCTCATTAAGTTCAGAGCAACTCGTGTTTTTACCTTCTGAGTCGACGTATGAGCCCGGTACAGACCCTTAATTAATCTCACACTCAAGGACCGTCCGTAGCTCAACTTAACTTTATGACACAGGGTAAAACAAGGAGCTGTTGATAGAGAAATGAATACACACAACTTCACAAGATGGAAGAAAAAGGCATGGAACCGAGCGATGGAGGCTGTGAAAGCCGACCTGTTCACCGGTCCAAAATAAAAATAAAAAAATAATAAACCCTATGCTGCCGAGATGTTATCAGACGGACAAACGTAGCAAAATGTAGATTCTACACACCGTAGTGAATTACAAGAATCACCGCCAATGCGGGTTTTGTGAGGACACAGATTGACTGTGTCAGAAATGGTATGACAATTTAACGGGACGCGTTCCCTTTTTGTCCAACTGTGGCCCGCTAGCTTAGCTCTCCGGCTAGGTCTAGCGTCCTTTGTCTGTAGCGACCAGACTTAAATTTTCCCGATTAACAAGCAGGCATCTCGCTCCGCTTGTAAAAACGGACTTTTAAAGCGTACGCAATCTGAATGCAGTAACGCGTGACGGCCATGCTTCGCCTTACGACGTTTACCGAGCGATCCAAGCTACGGTAGGTGTCACCGAGCATTCCGTTTAGATTCGGCTGTGATCAGTCGCCAATGCAATGGAAATATTTTCCACAATAGCTCGCCCACAGTGTCAACACACTGAGACGAAAGGTGTCCGAGAATTTAGTTTCGGTTCGGAGAATTCAGTTTTAATGTTAGGACTGAGGATAAGCTGCTCACGGTAGCTCACCCAGCAAGTTCAGAGCGGAAATGTCGCTTTCCGACCTGAAGAGGTTAGAGACGCGGCGGCGCGTCAAAATGGACAGAATTTAGTCAAAAGCACAACTCACACGTTCGCTCCGAAGGCGAAGATGGGATAAATCAAAGTTAAGTCTGTAATTTGCGGTCAGTTTGAGATCGGAGATCTTCCCCGTCAAGTTTCCACCAGGACGTCTCCCGGAAGAGTGACTTCAGCGGAATAATTTCCGGTGTCGTTCAAAATAAGACATCAAAGTGAAACACAGATAAAAGCGCTGTTTGTAGCTTTTAGATGTTAGAAATCAGATAAATCGCAGATATAGAAGTCTGGATACGCTCGCCATTAATGTAGCGTTGTGGTTTTATGCTCTTTTGTGAAAGAGGAACCATGCTACGTATTAATTCGGAATATTAATTTTTAATAAATCAATAACCAAATTTTATATGGTTCAGAAGACTCAAAGGTTGTTTTCATCGATAAACTGCCGATAATATCTGAGTGTCTGTGTTTCAGTTCAATGAGGAAACCAGTTTGAAGGATTAAAAGTTTTAATTCTTCAAATTAAACTAATGATTTTGAAAATTGACAGACAGGAAACAACAATCACATTGGCAACTTTGTGGGACAATCTTTAACAGCTGATATGCTGTTCTTGCTCAAATAGACCTTCTGGTGAATTTATGAAGATTGAGAATGTTGTGAGTTGTGAGAGTGATATGATGTGATTATGGATGCGTGTGGGTGCAAAGTTTGGTGAGATGAGGTGAGGTGGATGCGTGTGTGCATCTGATTTTGCTTCAGGAAGAAACAGGTGTCTGAGTGAAAAGTGATGGTTTGAATAAACTTAGGTTTAGTTGGAAAAGATGCATCCAAACGCTAAACACCGTGTTCTGTCTCACCGAATTCTTGTGGACCCTCTTTCGGATCCGGGCCGTGGAGGATGTTGTGGTATATCCAGATGACACCGGCGGCTGACAGGAGACGTAGGTGTCGAACGGAACCGGTCCAGAGTTGCCCTCGGTACACGTTGATGGTAAAGCGTTTTGTCGACGCGCTTTCTTAAGTTAATTCACTCAGAAATCAAAAGACTCGGTAATGAGTCTGCGTTAGAAGTTGCGATTCAGCTATTCTGCCTGGCTTGGCAGAAACAGCGTGAAAGGGGGGAAGAACGAGCCAGCCGGCTCTGCCCCCCCTTTGGTTTTCAGGTCCACTCTCTTCCGTAGTCCAACACGAACTGAAACTTACCAAAAGCCTTTCTCTTCTCAAAGCAAACATGTGCGTCATCAAATGTGTCTGGAGTTTACTGTGGGAAGATGTGTGTGGGTGTGTGTGAAGGTCAGTACCACACATTCTCAACATTATTTAAGAATGGATTCATTAATCCATTATAATTACCCCAAAGCATAATAGTCATTCATTTGATTAAAACACATTTATAATGAGCAAAATGATAATGGTTACTTTAACATTAAAATCAAGAAAAAGAAGTTTAAACTTTATGTTTTGATTTGTTATGACTACTTGTCCATGAGAACTCCTTCTTCTGGTACCGCAGGTGGCAGATGTTATGGTTTCCTCCCAGACTCGCTGGCGTTCAGGTCTTAATCTGTGGGTGAAAGTTCTCAATGACCCAGCTTTGACCTAGCTGAGTCCAGCACCACCTTTGTGACAGAAAACCCATATTTCCTCACGTTACACTTACAACACCCAGCATGTTTTAAGTCATTTCTGTCATTTTCCCTCTGCCTCTCCTCTAAACTACAGCTGGTTGTTTAGAGTTACTGCAATCATTGTCACTTTTATATCAATATAAATACACATTGTTTGTTGGTAGGAACAGAGTTCTGCTAAACACCCCCAGACACAAGGAGAAAGGTTTCATCCAATCGGACTGATAAGCTAATGGCTAGTCACACCTGAGCTAAGGACAAAGTTGGTCAATTTCATCTTGAAACCTCAACAACAAAAACCTCATAAAAGTTTTGTGAAAGTAACTTTCAAAACTGAAACATTGCTGTGACTCCATCTAACTTTAGCAAACAGCTAGTTCTTCTGCTGGATTCTGGAGCAGCAGGAAATCACTACATTTATGTTTCAGAGACTGTATGATGCAAATGAATCTACTTGTGAATTGTCTCTGCTGTCACTAGCCATTAGCGCATCAGTTAAAGCTAAACAGAAGCAATTCCACAGCAAGGTCGGGACTTTTGAGCTTGAGAAAGGTGATTTAAATGACTTCCACTTAAGGACTACCTCATGAGTTACCATGAGAGAACATTGGATCTTTCCTGGAAATTTCCACTGCATATGGTCACCATTTAGGAAAATGATTTTGTTTCAGTTAAATCTAGCCGCAACACAAATTCTTGACATTAACCTCTGAAATATTAAACAAAATACTCAGAAGTAGAGTGTTAAGCTCAGGGTGATGGAAATTATGAGGAATTATTAGAAACTCTTTGACATTCACTGTGATTTCCCTCAGAATTTAATTAAAGTAACAGTGTGTATTTTCCCTGGTGAAAGGGGGCAGCACACACCTTAATATTTGCAAGGAAGCATTATCTTTGTGTTCAAGTAAAACTTTACCAACAGATGGCCATTTGGGTCAAAAATCCCTGGGAGTGCAACCTCTGGCAAAATAATAAGCACATCAGACTCCTTTTCATCACTGGCAACGAGTGAAGAGTTAAAGAGCGGGTCAAGCATGCCTCAGAGTCCTTCTCCACCCATGTATCAATTTTAAAAACTGCAACATTAGTAGGCGTTGCCTGGCGGACCGAGAGGGCGGAGCCGCGGGAGTTTCTCCCCCTCCTTACCCAGACACTCGAGAAGAAAGGAACCAAGTCTATTTGGAGGAGACAAGCGGACTTGAGCCTTATTGTTTTGAGCTTGTGAGTTGCCTGAAACTACCGGAACCGACCCAACAGAACCAGCTCTGAATGGTAAGTAGCCGTTAGCCATAGCATTAGCTTAGCTGCAGGGTTTGGCTCCACGGCCCTAGAGGGCTAGTATTCAGCATGTTTTAGAGATTAACTGCTTCAAAACACCTGGTTTTAATCAGCAACAAATAGATGAGCTGCTTAACAGCTAATCTAACCTGTTAAAGCAGGAAAACCACTGAAACGTGCTGGATAGCAGCTCTCCAGGAGCCCTGGGCTCAAGTATGGGCCATTCCCATCTGTACCGGGTCGGCCCGGGCAGGGTAGCGTAGGTTGTTTACATATCTGGGTGGCCTGGTATTTTTCCGGGCCAACCAAGGCTCATTCTCAGCCCTCTTCTCGAGGGGATCTGCTTCAGGCCGACCAGGGCCAACACACCCACTGCTGACAGCAAATTCACACCTTCCATTAGAGCAAGCCTCTGATTGGTGGGTAAAATCAGCCCACATGGGCTTAAGACAAGGATGTGTGGAGTCAACCGGGCCAGGCTGGGGCCGACTGGGGCTACGCGGCCCGGGCCGACCCGGTACAGATGGGAATGGCCCATTAGTCTGCAGCAGAGAAAGTTATGAAAATACCCCATGAGAAAATTATTCTGTAATGTGTTCAGCCCACTAAAACTGCCCTGATTTCATTATTTATGAGTGATGACAGCTGCTCTCTTGGTTGTTGGTGATCATCTGGTGTCTGCAGCTGGTCTCCTGCTGGTGTTGTCAGGATCAGGAGCTTCCAGAAGAATGTGCCTTTCAATGACTCTTTCCCCCTTATTTGTTATATTAATTAAATAAATCTCAATTTATACATTTCCTGTTTTTGTTCATGTCCATAAATACTTAAACATGATTGAAATTAAAATGAGCTTTTAACAGTGAGGTGCTAGTTTAATTCATCACAATAGAGCTAGTTAAACATGCAACAATGTGATAATTCAAATAATGTAATTTATAAATATCCATTAAAATATCAAAACTGGAATCAAAATGAGATATTTGGCAGCACAAAAAACTTGTCAAACACATTATTTATTATAATAATTGTAGGCAGACAGGAGACAGAGCTGATGGAGGTTCTCAGTCACTGAAGGATGGCTGAAGGCTTTCCAGGAACAGGAGATGTGGTGTTGTCTCTTCTCTCTCTCTTCTGCCAGATGAGCTGATAGGTTACAGGTGTGTGAGGACATCCTCATGCTGTCATAACCAGATGACAGGAGTTATCAGGTGATCAGCCAGGCTAATGATGAGATGTAGAAAGAAAACAAATCCAGGACAGTGTACAGTAATAATAATCTGTGGTGTTGCTCACCTTATGTGCTCTTATAGAGTATTAACGTGTGCCTGCCTCATGGTGTAGTCCATATTTTGCTGAGTGTCCTGCAATAATGCAGGTTATTAGTTAATTTACTTTTGATAGCAAAGAACAAAATATTTAATGTAAAAGTTATTTACCAGGTGAATCAGCTCACACGTCACCACCAAGTGTCACAGGGCCAGAATCAGTAGCCTCCTTCATGATGTAATCACATTCTTATTTAATTGTTAATATCTTAAAATTTCTGAAATTGTTTAAATTTTTTTACCTTGAACAGTTCACTGAGCTCGCACTGTCACTGAGGTGGAAGCTGGAATCAACAGCAGACACCTCACATCTTGGTCTTTTCAGGGGTGTGGACGCTGCTCTGGGACTTTCTGGAAGATGAATTTCCGTCATGGTCCCTGTGTCACCAGACACACAGCAGCTGGGAGCTCTAAACTGGGTGGCTATGTAAAAAACAAATAAGCAGCTCATTTATAAATGTTTAAAAGAGCATAAAATCACGTGTAACAATAATTTGTAAAACAAATAAAAACTAGAATGTATTAATAAAATGTTTACATAGACGATTATTAAAAATAATTCACCTTTGCTACGCCGGTAAGGCTTCACGTCAGCCTGGACAAGTACATTCTTGCAGACTACTAAATCAGTCTGACAGCCAATGTCTTGGGTAGATTTAGCCTGAAAAAAATAGAAGCACATTGTTGTTGGAGATTATAAAGTCAGATAATATACAAAAGAAACTGTCATATAGGCGCTTCATAACATTCCTAGTGTGTGATCGTTATTCTAACGTAAACGTCAGTCACATATGATGTGGAGAGCCTGAAATGTGACCTGAACAGAATTCCTCACAGAATCGTGTCACGCTGTGGTGTAAAGCTGGATTTCACGCTGTAATGCTGTCTGTCAGCTAGTGCTGCGTTAGCTAGAGTCACTGTTAGCAGAATTATCAACTGACACAAAAACAACCCGAATTTTCTCCGAGCCTGACAGTAATAGTCATGTGGACCGTTTTGTCGGCCAGGGCTTCGAGATATGTTCCGATTCACCGCTGATTCTAACCTTACATCCCTTTCCACATTTTGTGAACTTGACAACTCAGCCCAAAGGCTGTGCAGGCTGATATTAGCTAAATTAAGTCAACCACGTCTCTCGAACTTTGCATTTAGGTAGGGAATTGTCTTTAGAAGATGTTAAAACTTTTATTTAGCTTACTCACCTCAGACTGGAGCCCGCCATGGTGGTGGAGCAGAGTCAGTGGGCTGCATCTAAATCGCAGAAGAGCCACGGTGGGCACGGCCTCCCTCTTCAAACGGAGACGTGCAGAATAACCCAGTTCAAACTCCATCATGTTGGCGAAGGAATCGCGGGTAAAATGCTGGTTGCAAACTACAGCACCAGGCGGGAGCTGACTTTTTCCAGACACCGATTGCGCGCAATCACTGGCACCTAATTTCTAAGTCCAGCAGAAAGGAGTGCAACCCCACAGAGCCACCGAACCCACTGCTCTACACCTTCTCACCATACTAACACAATATGGAACATTAAACCCGAACTACTTTCCTAATAACACTAACAGCTAAACACTAACTAAACTACAATATCCAACAGCCAAGCTAACACTAAATAAGTATGTATAACACTAAAAGCTATGCTAAAACTAGGATATGCTAATGCTATATGCTAATGCTGAACTGCCGCTAACCGTCCTACACTCGCTTGCAAATCCAACTCCCAACTCGCCACAAGGCGTGGCCGAGACTCTCGATGCTTTTATAACTTTGACACAGAGCTGCTACGTAGTACTCTACTGGTTTACGTAGTATCTTTCTCTTTAGCCATTGGCTAAAGTGTATTCAAAATGACTCAAACTCATCGACAAATAAATATTGGACAATGGGTTTCCACAGACTCCAATAACACGTTTTTGAGGCTAAATGGGAGGTGGCCACCACCGCCATTTTGACCGTGTCACAGGTTCCGTTAAGCCCAGACAATTCCACAAAAGGGAAGAGAGGTGGAACTGAGGGTGGGGCTGTTAGGCTGGGATCAACTGACGACACCCGTCGAACTAGCTACAAGCTAACCTGAAGCTAACCCTGGCTAACCTAAAGCTAACGCGGAGGTGGGAGCTAAGCTAAAAGAGGTAGCAACCTAGCTGCAACCGGAGTTAACTGTGCACAACACCAGAACTTCAGAGTCAGAGATACGACGGGCTGACCGCTGGGTAAAACCGGGTGGAACACAGAGGTCTCCCGAAAGCTGCTGAAAGCCGGCAGCCCGCGCAGCAGACAGAAGCCGTGGTCAGACAGAGATGCGCCGAGCTGCGGGGAGGGGAGAACCGGGTGGAAAACATCGGTCTCCCAAGAGCTCCACAAGCCGATAGTCGGAACCCAGCTCCACCAACATGTTATATTTCAACCCATTTTCTAAAGTGCAGCATTATGTTAAATGCACTGGGTTTTACATTTAAATTTCATGGTTAAACAGTACATGTTAAAATCCAAGCTCAGCTCGGCAGTGACCTAAAATACATAAATATCATTTTACTTACCGAAAAAAATGAAGTGGAGACTCCTTGGACGCTCTATTAGTGCAGTTAATGCCACAGCAAGTCATTTTGTCCAACAATTGCACAAAAAATATCCAAAACAGAATACACACACAGAGAGACTCAAAATCCCGGAACAGTTTCCAAGCCAGACCGAGGCTCTACTGAGGCCTTTCCACTGAGCTAGCTTTGTGGTCACGTGGGTCTGATGCTCATTAATTATACAGAATTTTAGGCTTTTAATACACTTAAACAGAAGAGTGAGAAAAACATTCACCCCCCTCAGAGTTGTCATGAGTGTAAACTAGATCATTTAAACCAAAAACATGTTTTGGTACCAGGCTGTAAACATGTTTATTTCTGCTGTGAAATTGGTATTTTTAACATGGGAGTCAATGAGGATTTGCTCGCTTCTGACACCAGCCCCCAGTGGATGAGGGTGGAACTGCAATTTTTGGTACTTCCGGGTTGAGACCAATTTTTGAGCCGCATTGTGGGGGCTTGTTCAAACTCTGTTTTAAGCAGAAGGTACTGTGGTATTTAGGCAGAATTTTTAATTTTTAAAGAAAATGCACCAAAATGCTAAAATAATGAGTACACATTTAAAACACTATTAGACACTCATTTATACAGTTCATCAGCAAAAAAAAGTTAATTTAGATGTTACTTGCTCTTTCAATGTGTAAAACAACAATTTTCATTAATGGTGAAAATTTTGTAACCATTTGTTACAGATCAGCAAATGCATTATGTCCTCACGGGCTTCTGTAGAAGGAAACATGGCATCCAATATGGCGTTGCCCAGAAACTTAGGGTGATTCTCAATGCCAAGAAATCTCACCTTGATGTCTTGGCCCTGCCCCTGTCGCCAAGGAGATAGGTCATCAGGAGCCACCAAGACGTGTTCCAGTGTTCATGTTCTACCGGGGAGTGTGTTCTCCGTTTGTTAGCTGTTTAGCTAGCTGAGCAAGGATACATGGGAGGGGCCTTGTAGCCTAGCCTTAGTGAAAATTTTCCCAGAATACAGCGCTGTATTTTCAAATGGATGGTGGATCAGAAGCCGGCACATTTCAAGTTTAAAAGTAAGTCAACTAATTTTAAATGGGGTTATTTTAGACCCAAAGAAGCTTTCTATGGTTGGTTAGTTGCTTAGTAGTTGCACCTTCGATGGCTAGCGGGTAGTGACTCCCTTACATATTTAATTTAACAAATACTGTATATACACAATTTAAAAAGTAAAAGGCTGTTGAAACTTATACATATAAAATATAACGTAATCTCCTGTGTCATGTGACGTTATGTGACCGCCGTGGAAGCCGCGGTCACGTGATGTAAGTCTGTTCCATTTAAGCAAGCAAGGAACCTGGCTGTGACCCACTCCCATATACTTTCGAACATATTTTTATGATTATATGTTATGAAACTGCCAATATTTTTCAACAACTTTAAATTCATTCACAACAACATTTCAGTGGATATTTCCAGAGATTAATGGTAAAAACTACACATTGTCACTAACGTGAGCAATAATGTATTGTGTGTGTGTGTGGGGGGGTGGTGGGGGTGGGGGTGGGGGGTCTGTGACCAGATTTCAGATCAAAGAAATGTTAATTTTCGACATCTGTTGCATTTTTGTATATAAAACTTACAGCTTGGTGACAGCTTTCATCAGAAAATGTCTTTCCAGCCAGTTGGGCAGTGACGTCCCGCTTTTACTCACGGATAATCTACTGGCAAAGTGTTTTAAATGTATCATTACCTGGGTTTTATTCATCTTTCAAACAGCAAATCTTTCCACACATGAGAAGTTCTCTTTGGATCTACTTAAATCTGAACAATCTGAACAAATCCAGACACAGTTCCTCTCCCAGTGAACCACCTTCTCAAGCACAAAAACGGTCATTTAGAAATTGGTCTAAATTTTCTAGAATGGAAGGGCTTAGTTATTTCTTTTTATTAGAGGTTGCACCAGCTGGGACAAAGTCGGACTACAGAGAAAGATGGTGTGAAGGGCAGATCATAGTGATGATGAGATGATGCTTTCCATCCAACTGGTTGACTCTTGATTCCAGGTGTTATGATGATTCATTTGCTCTACAGCGCCATCAAGTGGACAATGAAAGTAAAACAAACACAGTGATTATGTTGATGTGACGTGTGAACCTAATAAACTGCATAAATGATGTTTGTGATGGTAATATATAAATTCTGAATATTTTCATTTTAATACAACATCTAGTACAATTCCACAACAAAATGAGACGGGGAATCAGTGGCGTCTTGATGCCCTATTTATGTAGAAATCTGCATGAGCTGGCAAGCCAGTCACATGGTGCAGGCTGCCAGCGAGGCCTCAGACATCACTACATGTGCTATAAAAACAAGCCTCGATGCATGCTTCATAAAAAATCTCCCTGGATTACCCAACACATGCACGCTTCAAAGCAGACCACCATTGATTATTCAATAGGATTAGTCCGGTCCAGACCCCATCACCATCTCCCAATCAGCATTTCATCAAAGGTAACAAGGTAAGGCCGGCGCAATGGGTAAAAGGCCTGTATTTCTAGAACCCCCCAAGTGGCCTTACGCCACATCAGTCCTTCACCTACACATGCGCTCATTCACATGCTGGCAGTGATGAGCCACAA